ACTATTATTCTCTATTACAGATTATCATGGCAAATCAATCAAAAACAACAAGAAATTTCTTTGATCGTTCAGAAAAAGATTCAAGTCCTCTTTCTCGCTTTGTCTTCTCATTTCTACGTGCTGTTGATCCATATCTACAGTATCTCTTACTTTTTCAAGGATATGGTCATCAAATTCTTTCCAAACCTAATATTATCGCCAGTTCAGCTGGACCTAAAGGGACAGTTTTAGTCATTATGGCAGCCGGCTGTGCTTTGAAACAGATAATTAACATGGCCTACATTTTAGAAACCAGAATACCTCTTACTAGTGTAATAATGATATGTATCTATAATACAGTACTCAATTCTCTTGCTTCACTATCATCATTAATGTATGGTCCATCAAATGAATTAGGCAGTTTACAATACGTTGGAATTTCTATGTTTACTATAGGTATTTTTACTGAACTGATTTCCGAACTTCAACGTAAAAGATTCAAAGATAAGCCAGAAAATCAGGGTAAACTGTATACTGGTGGTTTATTTTCTCTCGCACGTCATATTAATTACGGTGGCTACACATTATGGCGCACAGGACTTGCTCTAACAAGTGGAAATTACTGGCTAGCAGCCTTACAATTCACATGGCATATGTTGGATTTTACGAAAAGAGGTGCGCCCGAATTAGGAGCGTATTGTAGCAAGAGATATGATGAAGAATGGAAGAAGTATGAACGTGATGTTCCAAATATTTTGTTTCCTTATGTTTGGTAACACATTTAGCGTCTAAATAAATTATACTTTCTTTCTTGCACTTGAATTTTTTTTCTGTTTGCACTGATCCGACGTCGTTCTAGTAGAATTGAATAATAAACTGTAGAAAGCATAGTACATTGCATTCAACTACCAATAAATATATGAGAAATAGATAGTTTCTTGTAAAAGATTTGCACCTAACGATTTTTCACAATAATTTGATCTTCGTTACATCATTGACGACATATTTTCAGTTTAGTTTTGACGTAAAAAAAACGAGTGAAGTAAATGTCAACTCATGAAAGTATTCCTCGCATAACTTGACCCGTTCTATCGATGTTACACTTCACTTGCTGAATTTCTAAGTGCATACACTAAGAAAACTGCTAGTCAGTCATTTCCAATGTCTGTCCTTTTTTTTTAACATTCAGTTTATTGTTCCATATAGGTTAACGTTTGACAAGAACATGTATCAATACGCATATTACAAGGATATATATAAAATCATGCTACTCATGACAATCAGATTTTAAATCTTTGTCCTTTTTCACTTATATACTTACTTATTTACGGTGGTTTCACACTGAAATATTTCAAAACAAAATATTCTAAAGTTAGGCTTGATTTTTAAAAAAATCTATATTGTTCTCTATGAACATGGATGAAAGATATCGCATATAGATACATATGTTTTGCATGTTCAGCAAGTCTATTAGGGAAACGGCTATTTTTCCTAAAGTTCATACTTTTGTAATACGTTTTAAAAGGAAATTTCACAATGAACAAAGCAGTTAACGTTTGTCTGTAAGTATCTGCTTCAGGGGCTGCATCCAAATGACTTTGAAACCTTATCCAATGTTTAAATATGATAGTCATGCATAGAAAGTTCGCGACTTAACGCAAGAATAGCGAGACCGTTATACCCCCAAAGGGAATACACCAACCTTAAACCTGTTCCAAAGACGCATTCAATTTTTGTTTTTGTTTCTCATTGAAATGAAAAAAAGCAAAAAAAAAGCCAGATGAATTGAGGAAAGGAAAAGGCTAGCAAAATTCTTCTTCTTATCTTAATCTCGTTTTGAGGAATTGTACGGTATACTTTTCTCGAATCATTAATGTATGACTTCCTCACTTTTTGCAATCTATCTTGTATAAATTTTCCCCATCCTAATTTTGGACTAATATGGACTCCTAAGTATTTGAAATTTACTACATACTCAATTTGAATTTCTTTATATTCAACTTCAGATTTTGAGATCATAACTGCATTATGAAGTAACATTGCTTTTGTTTTTGCAGCATTCACTGAAATAATATAATTATCCGAAACATTTTCTAGAATATGCAAAATTGTTCTAGCTTGATATTGAAGGCATTTTATGTTATGAGATAGGCATTTTTCTAAATCATTGTTTATAATAAGTGTTAAATCATCTGCAAAAAGATGACTTACTATCTGAGGAAAGTGCAAGGGCAAAAAGTGCACGGGTGTGGGTGTGGGTGTGGGGTGTGGGTGAAGACGACAGAACCATTTAAAATCCACATCCACGCACACTCACCCACGCACACTCACCCACGCACACACTTACACCGACACACATCCCCCCCCACACCCACACCCACCCACACCCCCACACTCACACCCACACCCGTGCACTTGTTGCCCTTGCACTTTCCTCACATAGTCACTCCTCT